ACTCCGAAAGATTTGAGTCTTCTCAAGAAGACAAGCCTCTGGCTTCCTTTCTTGGCCATGTGGTCCACCTGGGTGTTTCATTTTAGGTCAGCTTGTATATGGAGCCCCAGGAGTTTAGCTACTTGAACTTGTACTAGGGGGTAGTTGTCAATTTTTAGTGAGGGTAGTGGTGGCACAGTTTTTGAGAAGTGCAGAAACATCACCTTGCATTTGCGAGGGTAGGTAGGTCGGTAGTTCGGTAGGTAGGTAGGTAGTTCGGTAGGTAGGTGGGCAAGGCGTGGGGAGGGCGCTGTTGAGGTAGCAGAACACAGTTTTTCGCCTATGGGGATTTCTATAGTTAAGGGCCCGGAAGTGACTGACTTCGACTCGGATAAAAATACAGTAGGGTACCATAGAAAAGCACGAGAAACGAATATGTTCAAATATAGGGTACGATGTACAAAATAACAAAAAAGTACAAAAAGTTATCGTTTTTTGACATCATGCCGACCTCTTGAATGGCCTCAGCAAGGTTCAGAATTTTGATATGTTTAATTTCAGGGTATAGTGTACAAAATATGTGAAAATGAGCTTAAATTTGCCGGCTAGTTCTCTTCTCGCGCCCTCTTTCATTAGCGCCACTGCGGAGGTCATGGAACTGCAGCCGACGCACAGTACTAGGCGGGACAAGTATCCAAGCGCAAATCTACTCCGACTAAACACGCACCATAATCCAAATTTTACAGTCTCAAAACTGACGTATTCCTCTAACATTTACCACAGGTTCTGTCTCGATGCCATGCACAAAACAATCTCTGCACCCTTCCCTAGTATTGTGTAGCACTACTTTGTGCTACGGGGTTCGCCCATGAATACTGTGTTGTGCGGCCTTGACGCCTGCATGACCCTCAAAAGGTTACAGGTCATGGGGCATAGAGAAGTCATAAAGAAGTGAAATTTTGTTTTGGGTGTAACTATTGTTCTTTTGTTAGTATATTGATGACGAAATTGTTTACAAGGTAAGTGGGGATTAGAAAAGGATGAGAAGGAACCCTGTAAAAGGTAAAGCACACACAAAAAACATATTGTAAGTTACACTACAATGACTATGTACAACGCAAACCTGTCTATATTAGCAACCGCTAATATTACTATCTAGTTCTTACAGAATCTGTATAATTCCTCTTCTTAAAACAGATAATCTAGATCCTGACACTAGGAAAGATGAGCAGCAAGACTGGCCCGGAGCCATTGGACCAGCAGTACGTCACTGTTAAAGATGAGTTCGGCACGCCTCAGATGGTCCCTGTACTGGTGAGTTAAATAAATCCTAAAGTTTAAGCACTGTATTTCGTTCATCTATATTTCCAATGGGTTATTGATGTATTAGTATGTTATAATAATTCATTGAAACACTTCTGCAATGTAAAGTGATTGCTGGTTTTATTTCTCATTTTTTGTCATTGTCCATGTCGTCTATTTTTCTGCCAGATGTGGGTCTCCAGGTTCCCTTTTCTGCTAATAAGTCCAATAGGAGCTCAAAATTCTGTCACTATGGAAACCAGTTATCAGACTCAGAGCCTCCTACACTATTGTTACAGACAGTTCCCAGTGTGACAATAGTTGGTCCATGATACTGATAGTACATATGCATAAATCAACAGGATTAAGATGTTCCTGATTCTCCTGACTCCGGAAGTATTGGCCTGGCCATCAAGCTTCTAGTCATACATTTGAGGGCTTATAAAAGCATACTTAAGCTAAGTTGGTGAAGGTTAGACATCCAGGTAATAAGATACACCAAAAAAAGAGAATGCATTTTTCCTGCAGTCTCTTAGTGCCACTGACGAAAGGTAGTGGATGCTACCTGAAATGTTTGACCGTTTCTAAAATCATGTCCAGTTGCTCGAGTAACTGTTTTTTTGGCACAGTTAAGCTAGGCTGTCTGAATACACTCACCTGTGTTCTCCCTGCAGCATCCCCGGTGGGTGGTTGAGGTGAACTTCCTGCCGTACGTCGCCCCTCCTGACCCGGCCGCCCTGCGGGAGGAGGAGCGGGCGGGGATGCTAGAGGAGTGGCTGGAGCGGGCGCTTCTGTTAGAACAGGACCTGCGCTGGCTACTGCAGCAGACTCACAGCAAGTTCTGGTGCCAGGTACTTACCTGTTACAGTTCTACATCTATCCCTAGCCCTAGCCCTAGCCCTAGCCCTAGCCCTAGCCCTAGCCCTAGCCCTAGCCCTAGCCCTAGCCCTAGCCCTAACCCTGCGCTGGCTGCTGCAGCAGACTCATAGCAAGTTCTGGTGCCAGGTACGAACCACTCTTCTACCCACTAACTGGTGAGCCGTGTTGGGTTACATTGTTGACCTTCCTATCAGCCAAACTGTCAAAAATGACCTCCTGCAATCAATGCAACCATCTCTACTTGGATGAACAGGCACCAATGTACACACATTGTACAAACCCCTAACTTAAGAAGTGCTTCTAGGCATTACCTGGTAGAAGCTATTTCTACAGTAGCTTGCAATTCTACATGTATGTTGTGCAATGCACATGATCTTTAGACATTAAACATTATTTTATTTCAGACCATCTTTGATGAATCCCTGCATAGCTGTCTCAACTCCTACCTACAGAATGCACCAAGGTGATGATTTATGAGTCATTTTTCAATTACAATGTACTATATACTAGTAGTCCTAATAAAGAACAAGAGGCACAGATTTTGAACTTAAGCTTTCTGAATTCGTCCACCATATTCCTGCTGGCTTAACTGGCCAAATTCTGAATCTGAGACCCTCACATTCACAGACCCCATTTCCTGTGCCTGACTTTTTGACCTATCATTCTGCCCATCAATCTACCCCAGGGGTTTTTCTAGAAAAATTTGGCATGGGGGAGCATAATCATGGCGAGGGAGCGAAGCGACCGAGGGGGGGTTGGTGCGGAAGGGGGGTATCCCCCCTTCCGCCATGTGAAGCCTTTGAAAATTTGAAGTTGAAATGGGACATTTTGAGGCTACTTGAGGGGGGAAATATGAACTCTTTCATTGTATGTTTCTTTAAAAACAAACAACTATGATGTACATGTAACCTGGTTGTAAAAAAAATATTTAGACACTCACTCACACAGTCCTCTTACACAGTCCTCTTACAATTAATTGAATATGATAAATATAATGCTCAATACAAATTTCCATTAGTATAATGTATGTGAAAGGCATAGGAGAAGGATAAATAGACTAAAAGAATTCAAGGTTATTTTTCTCAATATTCTTCCCAAATTTCTATTTCTATCTCCCTTGTAAAATATACATTGTAAGTACATGTACAATCAGCAGTACACACAATCTGCAAATCACCCTTTCTAGTACGCAATTAGTGATTAATGTTACTACTCCAGATGACAACACTGGGTTTGCCACAAGCTCAAACCTTTCCCATAATGGCAAAATAGCAACACATTCATCCAAGCTGCTACAAACTCAGGTCTCATGTTTCACTTCAGAGCCTGTTCTATAGTATGCAAATGAAGGAGGCCCAGCTACTTGTCTTTGAGCAAGTTCTCAATGAACATTGTTTATTCCATTCAAACTTTTACTACTAGAGCTGAATTTTCATGTTTATGGTAAGATTTTGGAATTTTTATGAGAGTAACATAGTTTGTAATGCTAGAATACATTGTTATGTGGTGTTGTTTTTGTATTTTTACTGGAAAAAGATGATTTTGAAAAAGACTTAGGCTTCAATCTGAAAATTGATATGAGGGCGCTGGTTTGTTACATGAGGGCGCAGCGCCCCTGTTCCCCTGTTTAGAAAAACCCCTGTACCCCCACCTATGTACTGTCAACCTGCTCTGTCTGTACAAACTCAGAAACTTATCTACCCAAAACAATACTGCTGTTCCCAAGAGTACAAAAAATTCATTATTTCTCAAGAACACAAAATTTAATGTACATGTATGCACAGAGATAAAGGTAAAATGCTGTATATCATCATATTCATAACTTAATGATCTTCTAACCTTTTTTCCCCACATCAGGTCCTATGACCCCCCACTTGAACTTCCGGCTGACCTGAAACAGCAGGAGGAGACCTTACACCGCCTGTTCTTCATGGTCTTCATGAGGATGGCCACGCACAAGGAGTCAAAGGTCAGAGTTCTCACCTCCACTATTAATAAATAAATGAAGAATGACTTATTACAATTTTCTTTTTGTACTGAATTGTAGCTAGGCCATGACAAAAAAAAAACACATATTTCTTTTGACTTTGAACAGAAGATTTTTGTCTTTTGAGGATCTACCTAAATGCAATCAACAGTTCATGTTAATTAGGAATGTTCTTAAGTGTTCTTGAGTTCTTGAATAAATAAAGCAACCAAAGACAATTGCCCTGAGGAAGGTGACAGGTCACCAAAACATCAGCTGAATAAAACACTTGGTTGTGTACAAAGAGTCACTTTATTCAATGACTTACCAACCTGATGAAACTTAATATATAATTCACGAAAGTTTTCTTAAATAATCTTTGTACTTTATTTCACCCCCAGGAAAACTTCTTCACTCCTAAGACGTTTGGAGACATCTTGTACGAGAACTTCTTGTTTGACGTTCCGAAGCTGATGGACCTGAGTGTGCTGTACGCTGGCGGGAACATGGCCGTGCTCGCCAAGATGGTAGACAACGTCTTCAAACAACAACCCAACTACAACAACGACTTGGCGGAAGTCGGGCCAACAATATTTGAGGTAAAATTCAGTAATCAAAGAAAGCATTGTATCTTCATTAAGATGCTGACAAAAGCTTTTGGCAATGCCCTGGGTGCGGAGATTTTTTTCTTTACTTTTCCAGAGGTCTTGTAATCCGGGTACAGAAGTTGAAGTTGTATTGGGTTTGAGTTTATGGGTTTGTCCGTCTTAAGTAATTTCAGTTTCATGCTGGTGGGAGGTAATTTTGACAGTTGATTGACTGGGAGGTAACCCGATAGTGTCCCAGCACATGCCTTCAGGAAGTGGTATATGTACAGTGTACATGTTGTATAGTAGTAGTAGTAGTAGTAGTAGTAGTAAGCCTTTATTTAATCTCGAATGCTTGTTCGGTACATACCGCTTTTCAACAAGGTCGAGGGTGAGGGCGGGGTCACGGAATTACAAATCAAACCAAAATATAATACAA